TATAGCGCCAAACGAGTCGCGCGAATGCGACATATGCCCAACTTCATGCCCACGACGACCCCCACGCACTCTCTCGGAACACGAGCCTGGATGAAAGCTGGTTGTTGTTAAAAACGTGCGTGGCGCTCTTAGAAATGCGACCCTTTGCAAACCGACCACGGACAAGAGCACGAAAAAATTGCGGATTTGGACCACACCCGCCCTATGTATACATCAAGAGGTACGCATAGATATACCGTAGATGACACAAGATAACACACCCCCTGGACCGATTGTCTAGTCTCGATTTCTCGACATCAGAAAGAGTAACAGCGCGGAAAACGGTGGAGTTGAAGCTGCCTCGCCTAGAGCTTTGCGAAAATGTATTTCTTCATTTATGCATCCTCTTCGTTGTCGCATCATCGAGCTTTGAAAATTGGTCCAGGGGGTGTGTTATCTTGTGTCATACACGGTACGTGCACATGCACATCCACACACAAGGTTATGCGTGCACCCACATCCACACTTTTATGTTGCACGAAAAGACACAGAGTATATACTGATTGATTCAGAAGGGACAACAGTAGAGCAGGACTGCATTGTACTTTCGACTGAAAATGTAAGTGCATATGTTCAGACATTGAAACAAGGGTGCTCACGAAATTTGAATTGATGGCACGGACCCCCTTTGTCCCCTTGCCCTTGTCCAGGAGGTTGAGTGGGCCCTCAGCAGTTTACAGGAAGATTCGCTCAACAGCAGTAGTGAATCTCAAGAGGACAATTTGACAATACTGGCCACTTTTTTGGTGAACGACCTATAGTGTCATTGGGGTATAACCCTCCCCCGCGTTGCTAGAGACAAATCTCGAGCTGGCAAGGAGGTCCAAACCCTGTCCTCATTCGTTGCACGAGTGCACAGTTGTCTTTTTGTTGCGGTAGTGTGCGTTGCGACAATGAGGGGGTAGACTTGGGAAATTAGAAAGAGAAGCGTTTTTTTTGTCGAGGAAACTTTTCGCTCGTGGAACTCCACCCCTCAATATGTGCTTATAATAGTACACCGGCGGCCAACATGTGTGCGGTGTGTTCGGCCATCCGACAACGATGGTGATTCATGTGATGTGCGTTGATGCTGGCACTGAGACTGGAAGCATGAACTGCCGCACACACAACCCAAGTGCACGATAGTGTTCCCCTCTGGTGCCCCTCTCAAACAAACCATCCCCTATCTGTCTCCCGAGGACTGCGCCCCCGTTTACGAATCCTTTCAAATCTACCGCTGTACACAGGTGACCGTGGCATACAAGGAGGAGAACGGCCGCATGGTGCCCCAGCGAGTGCACACCGTCGTTATCTCCACGCAGCACGATGACGATGTCTCGAACGAGAAGATCCGCGCCGACCTCCATGAGCACGTGATCAAGCACGTCGTGCCGGCCAAGTACCTCGACGACGACACCATCTACCACCTCAACCCCTCCGGCCGCTTCGTCATCGGTGGCCCCCACGGGGACGCCGGGCTCACCGGCCGCAAGATCATCATCGACACCTACGGCGGGTGGGGCGCGCACGGCGGTGGAGCGTTCTCCGGGAAGGACCCGACGAAGGTACGGAAAAGAAGGAAAACCGGTCGGCATATCTCGCCCGGGGTGGAGGGGTGGAGTAGAGGATGCGGCGGCGGGAGTTCAGTAGATGCCCGTTTTGTTATACCCTGTCATCATCTGATCACTTGTTGCAGAGAGTCCCTTTCGGGACAAGAGGCAGAGGACGGCCCCCTGTCTGTCTTCCCTTGTTGAAGCGCATGCAAGACGATATAAAACCTGACCGTTTGGTTCGAGGATGAAGTGAATGGTGCCTGTAATTGAAGCTCTCCAATATCTCGCCTGTCCTGGGTCTCAGGAGCATTTGCGTGGCTACATAGGGTGGGTGGGCGTCGTGCCGCTTGTACCGAAAACAGCGCGCCTGCCGTAGATTTGATCATGCGTCTACGTTGCTACATGTTGCGGTGCATCTCTCGTGACTTCAGGAGTTCACCCACCCACCCCCCCAAAGGTACGAATCAATGTCTCATCACAAAACAATCATTTGTTTTTGCCTCGCTGTCGACAGGTGGACCGGTCGGCCGCCTACGCTGCTCGGTGGGTGGCCAAGTCCCTCGTACACGCAGGCCTCTGCCACCGGGTGTTGGTGCAGCTGTCCTACGCGATCGGCGTCCCCTACCCTCTCTCCATCCACGTGGACTCGTACGGCACTGCCAAGACTCGCTCCGGCAAGACCGACGAGGATCTTGTAGAGATCATCAACAACAACTTCGACCTGCGGCCCGGCTGCCTGCTGCGCGACCTTCAGCTGCGAAAGCCCATCTTCCGCAAGACGGCTGCCTACGGCCACTTCGGTCGCAGCGACGCGGAGTTCACATGGGAAACTCCCAAGGACCTTACCCTCTAAGCTTTTGCTTTTGTTTATTTTGTCAGCATTCCAAGACTCCGTTGGTGAAGGTTGGGGGTGGGCTTCTCGATTCGCCGCGTTGTCGCAAAGCTTGAAATACGCTAAGCCGTATTTAGAGTTGGGGGCGTCTAACGGTCGCGGGGTGTGATGGGGGGTGACAACGGGTAAGGTTGTTTCCGGTTGACGCACAGATCATGCGCATTCTCACGTGGTGCAGGCTAATACGAGCGACACGTAACCGCGGCTACCGCCATGCATGCTCTCTGTATCGCCACGTTCATACGTACACGATTCGTTTTTCTTCGAGATGGTATTGTTTGTTTGCTTGTTGGTTTGGAGGATTGCAAGCGTTCCCCACCTTTCACTTGCCGCGTTTTTATACGGGGGAGGGGTGAAAGGCTCGGAACGCTCCCATCCTTTTTTGAGTCCTCCAGTTTGTGCACGTTGCTAAGCCACTTTGGTTATATGTGGTACGTAATAGACCCGGCACGTGCTCATATTGCAAGGTTCGCCAGCAGAAATGGGGATGGAAATTCTAGAGTGTACATTGCACATTTCAGTACTTTTGAGCCCCGAAATTTTCCCTTCTCGGTTCTGTCTGTCTTGGGGGCAATTATTAAGTGCTCGTTGTTGTTCGGTTACGCCTCCTGCTTGCACGCGTGCAACGTCTGGTTCTAGTCCCTGCAGTACGATCGATGAGAGTCAAGAACAAAGACTTGTTTTCGGAAGACAGCAAGAGTTTGTGGGGTCTAGGATGAGTCAGTCGGCTCGTACCCAAAAGATTGACTGCGAAGCATCCCGTCGGATGTGTGTTAACTACGATGCCTGCCGTTGTTCGGCAATCGTTGGTCTTATTTTCGTCGCTGACCGAACGATTGTGTCGCCCGTTGTGAACAACGTTGTTGCCCTGTTTTGACTCTTGTGCCATGTACCGAGCGGTATCAACCCCACCTACAGGGGCAGAGCAAACCAATGCTGAACTATCAGGCGCATGAATATATAGAAGCATCGAGCACGTGTGTCACCGTGTTACGCCCTACTAGTAGTAGAGAGTCATGTGTTCATAGAAGTCTCGCAACAGGCCGTGCATGGCTTCCGAACCATGCGGCCATTCGGACAGTGTCGGGACCAATCCACCAACACAGTGGTCGCCCGACTTTCCCGATCGGGGCTCAGCAACCCAATGCCCCAAAGTAGGCCAAATCGAGAAGACAACCGTACACTGGAAAAGAACAAACATCCCCTCCAGGCAGAAAGGGGGATGAAGTGAAGACCCAATTTCGTGGCGACACTCATTCTCGCTTTTACCCCAGTCACGGACGCCAGCAAATGGGGCCTGTGTGAGAGCGGTTGATTCGAGAAGAACGATACGCTGTGTTGCTCGTATTGCTCACATGGCCAACCTCAAGACTTAATTTAAGTCAACCAACGTTCAAGTATAGCTCTCCGCTCACTGATTACTGATAACGAGATCGGGCAAAAAGTCGCCTCTTCTTTCGAACGCAACTGTACGGATACAAACAACGACGCCAAACTCATCGTGTCTACCTTCTTTTTGTTCAAACCCTGCACGAGATCGCTCACCAACATGCAGTCGTCGGTACGGCAATGCATATTTCAACACAAACATCGTAGCTGAAGGTGAACAAAGCGGCTTATCGTTTCGTTCACGACACACAACACACGACACTTACCAGGCAGCAGGCAGAGCGCAAACACACGCTCAACAACCTAACACTCTGCTCAATATCTGCCCAACGTTCAAGAACACACAGTCGCAGCACCAGCCTACCGGATCACGAACGGATGCACGACACATTACATGCGCTTTTCTGGTTTACATCAGATCCACTTACACACGAACAACCCAAGACCAAAGACACGCGACTGCGCCCAGCACGGCATCCATGAGACAAACCCCTGCGCCGCTTATTCCGAAATTTAGTACCTAGACACGGGGGAACCCGAGTTTCCTTCACAAAAATATCAAGTCTCTCATCTTTTGTGCGGAAAACTCGAGACCCGTCGTGGTAGATTCGCCAAAATATATCCATCTCCCGGAGTACAAAAAAAAAACACCATCCATACCACACACACTGATGACGGCCACGTATAACATGCCGCTCTCATCTACAAACCCTCGACGGCGGTCGACGGCGGTCGAAACCGGCGACCAGTAAAATCACAACCAAGCGGGGGCGGCGCTAACTACTTCTAGGTAAGCAGGAACATCACAGGCGACCAACACCCTGAACGCCGAACCACATAGTGTTCCGTTTGGCACAACGCACATGCTTGTGGCCTCGTGACACACGTTCCTTTAACAACAGTCAGAGCAAGCGGGAACCTGCAGGATCGCTGCTACTTCGCACACGTTCCGCGTTCTCTCAATTCCGATACAACAAATGCTATTTGTTCATTCACCTCGGGCGTGTACATACTGCCACCGGTGTCGTCGCCTCTGCTTCTTCGATAGTCAGTCAGCGGTCTCCACCAAATGTAAATTTTGCAAGAAGCGAAGGCGGTGGCTGCTGCTGCGATGCTGCTGCTGTAATACCGAAACAGCTCTGTGCACTTTAGAGCTGCACAAACGATGAGGCCATCCCGGAGACAGAGGGCGCTAGACCCTGCTGGTCCTCCCCGACCGAGATTTCTTCGTCCAAGCCCACAGATATCTCCTCCTCCTCCTCCTCCTCTTCCTCTCCCTCCGCTTCTCCCCCCACCTCCAATCCCACCTCTACCTGCAGCTCGTCATCGCCCCCAACAGCCGAGCAGACCCTGCGTGTAGTGCTGTCGTGTTGGTTGTCGTTGCGGGAGCACTTTCGACCGTTACACCACTCGGTCGCCTTCCCTTCGTCTACAGGCTTGACCTTGACTTCCTTGCGCGTGCCACAGCTCACGCAAACGGCCGCGGTGTGCTCATTGAATGTGGAGCACACGCGGCAGCCCCATTGGGACGATCGCGCCGCAGACGCCGGCGCCGGCGCCCGCGGGTCACTCGAAGCAAGAGGAGCAGGTGCGGCTGTGTAGGCTAGAGACGCGCGGGTAGAACAGTCGGAAGCAGCTAGAGCCACGGCGGCATCGCCGGGTTCAGCATTTGACTGGGTGTCGGCGACGGCAGAGGCGTTACTCCAAGCAGCGGACTCGGCGCTCGACGCGGGAGGCGGCGGCTTCGCGCCACTGGTGGGCTCAGCGGCGGCGATGGGGACAGAAACAGTTGCAGGAGCCTTGCCCGAGAGGGGAGCCGCAGCCGGTGGAGCCTCAGACTGGCGGGGAACCCCTTTCAAGTTAATCTCCGCTCCGACCAACCTGAGCCCCTCGCACCGACGACACCGTGTGTCCTCGGCTCGGTTGCGGTGCTTGCAGCCGAGGCATCCCCAATCGCCTGCTGCTGCCGAAGTTTTCCCCGCGGGAGCACCATTGGTCCCTTTGAACGCCGCTGCTTGCCCTAGCTGGGCACCGGCAGGGCCAGCGGTCGTTCCGCCCGCAGAAGAGAGCGGCCGTGGCGCAATCGTCAGAGGCGCCGCTTTTACAGGAGAATCCTCGGCGCTCCTTGCAGATGCAGCAGCAGCAGCGGTCTTGACCAATCTGGCAGGGCGTTTGCCGGGGTGTTGTGTATGCATAGGAGTCTCGCCAACGATTGGGCGCTTCCCGAAAGCCGCGCCACTTCTCCCACAAGCTGTCGAAGTCTCTGCCCCTGGTGGACACACCGACGCCGACACTGTCGCAGCAGCACCGCCCGCGGCCGAGGAGACTAGTTCAGCCACTCTAGCCGCGCCGCCGACAGCACCTCGCGCAATTCCCAACTGGATCGGGACCCTCTCCATTCGCATGGGCGGTGGCGGCGGCGGCCCGACCCCACCGGCAATTACACGGCTGGTTTCAGTCCCCACGCTGGTATCTCTGCCCCCTACCTCGGCCCGGCCACCCCCGCTGCTTCCATCCCCGCGTTCAGCCCCCTTGTCCTTCGCAAGCGTGCGGGCCTTCTTGGATGATGCGACGTACGCCACGGAGGCGGCGGTCACAGTGGCGGTCATCGTGCTATACCTCTTGCTCCTACCGGCGGTGTTCTCACGCTTGGTGGCCGCCACCGCGGAATCCACCCGCGCCCGGCCCGACGCAGCGCCGGCAAGACGAGCAGAACTCCCCCCTACGGTCCAAGCGGAGGAGGAAGAGGAGGAGGACGAGGCCTGTCCTAACGGCCTTTCGGCCTCCTTTTTCCTGCGAATGACGCACGCCGGGCAGAACCAGTCTCCCTCCGGGACGACAGATAGCCCCACGCACTCCGGGTGATACACGGCCTCACAACCATCACAGCAGATGAGGTCTCCTCCCGCGTGGCACCCTCCACAGGCCTGACAGCATCAAACACAGGGAGAAAGACGGACACCGAGAACTGAACAACGTGCGATCGGCCAAAGCGGCGCGTACCCCCGAAGCACACCCTCGCAGCAAGGCATTCCTGGTGTTGAGCGAAGCCCGGTGCATGGCGAGCCATGAAAAATAACAACTCCATTTTCCCCTGGCTTCCGGCCAGAGCCCACGTTTCCTCCTGTACCACTGCCTGCGCTAGACCATGGACTTCGCCTGTAGACTACGTGTGTTGACTCTTCCTGCAATTCGTCTGCAACACGTTCAACATCCTGTTTCGTTTCTCCCGAATTAACGCGAGATGTGGCAACTGCTGTTGCCGCTCTCACCGATTGTTTCTTTGACAGGCTGCATGTTCCGCGGTTGGCAAGTGTTGAGGGGTCGGTACGGCAAACGTGGAGGCAAACATGACACGATGGGGCAGAGTTAGGGAGACTAGAGTAGAGCGGGCAGGCAAACGCAGAGAATGACCTCTGTTATGCTATTCTATTCTGGGATGAAACCATGATTAGATGCAAGAAGTGTAGCAAGCACTACGCTGAGGAGACAAGACGCGACAAACTACGCATCACGACAGTTAACATGTCTTGGGACGGAGGTGCACCAAAAACGCGAGGCGTTTCCAACATGCGAACCCCACGCGTACAACGGTAGGGTGTGTGTGAATAAATACCCCATGATCATAGTGTCAGTTCTGATGGGTGAAGCCGAAGTACGTTGACACGCATGATTGCGGAACGTCAATACCTCCCGGGGTTGACGAGCACACAAACACCACACAAGGTGCAGGACGTCCGGCAATCTACCACCCAACTATTGAAGAAATAACTTACGAGGCACCAAAGCAGTATTCGGTGAGGAGGCCAACAACGACAAAGGGAAGGACGCCTGTCAACAAGCTGGAAGAGACAACCTACACCGCACACGCCCAGCAGGATACCACATCGTTTTTCGCCCTTGCCACAAGCCATGACCAAACTCGTATTCTACCCCATCGCTGGCCACCTATCTGCAGGCAACCCAAGTCGCTGTGGTGTTTTTCAATATCGCATTATCGCGATCGTCGCACCGGGGTGCCTGCAAACGACTCCATGGCACCGGTACATCAAGGCCAGTCATCGGAGCTATCGCACCGGGGGTGCCTTTGAAAAACTAGGACGCGTTGATACACTTATATTTCCGAACCAATATCGGGGTTTTCGCACCCATCGGGGTTCTGCACCGGGGTGCAGCGACAAAAACCAAGAAATGACCGGTGCGATCGTCCTCGGGCATGACTATGCTAGGCATATAATGGGCCAAATGAGACTTCTCGATCGACGGCATACTTTCCATTTGTTTTGTGACAAAAACAGTACATTTCTCAAACACACAAGTAACATACATACCGGATGGATTCCTTGAGGGCCCTATACCCGTCCGTTTGCTTCCAACCCCCGTAGTATCGGTCCACCAGCTCGCACACCTGCCTACCCGGTAGCGCTTTCTGCTCGACATTGCGCAAGAAAGAAGATGGACACCGGACAGGGTTAGCACCAGGGAGATAGCGGAGCAAGGTTTCGGAGCGTAGGTCGGAAATGCGCCAGTGATGACTTGGAAAGGTGACGCCAACGTAAGCTCAGAAGATGCGGTCTATGACAATGGATAATAATGTACTTTTAATGTGAAACAGACAGCGGAATGGGTGGTGGATACAGGAGGTAGGAGGACAGCGTGTGGAGCTCCTGCGGAGGGTCCAACATTTTACGGTCAAGTGCGAAATAGGCTGATGCTCGCCATTCTTGGCCAAGTGCTGGCTAGTGCACCAGTTTCGTGGTGCGTGTATTGCGCTAGTGTAGTTTCTGGGCACTTGTAAAGACGCTTCGCCGGGAATGCAAAGACGCTTTCTTATTAATCCAGGGAATGCACGAAAAGCGTCCCCGCCTCATGTTCCCCGTAGAGTGCTATGAACAGTTTTCGTACTACCTGCGCGGCGTAGAAGTTCTTTGACCCCTCCTCGAGCATTGCCCTCGTGTACATGGCCGCCTCGTGGGGGAGCCACGGCCGCGCTAAGTTCAAGTCCGGCGACAGCTTGTCCTTGCTCCTGGCCCCTGGCGGGATGCTGGACACGCCTCCTTGCACCTGCCGCTTCAACGCGGACTCGCCTCCCGCGAGAGATTTCAGCGGGCGACACCAGAACGCGTCCTGCGTCCCCGGGGCGCCTGCACGGCCAACGTGACCGCGACCGCCGCGGCTGGCGCCGCCGCTGCTGCCGCCGACAACGCCCCCACCGGCACCTCGGGCAGCCACCGCCGCCGCACCCCCTCCCCAAGCCACCGCGCTCCTTGTTGTGTTAGCAGTTACCGTCGTCGAACCCGCCACAATCGGACAACCACCACCACCACGAGCGACGTCGGGATTACCACCTTTGGTTGACGACGAAGACCACGATGAGGACGGCGGCGGTGCAGCTGCAAGGCGCGCGGCGGTTTCTCTGGCCACGATGGCCTTTGCTGACGCCGTCTCCCTCGTCGAATTCGAGGCCATCAGGTAACGGGACTTCCACGACCGCGAAAGGTTTCTCAGCAGCTTGCGAGCCTCGCCGTAGTCCCCTTCGAAGCGATGAACGATCTCCAGACACTGGTACATGAATGATTGAGACGAGAAAAAAGGGGGTTGTCATGGTCATGGCTGTCATATCGAGGATCGAGGAACACCAAGAAGGAACGAAGCAGGCTTGAGCGGGTTGCAGCGTAGAGGTTTGAACTGCCCGTAGAAACAGGAGGGGAGGACAGCGGTACCATGCTGCACGAGATGGCTGCTTTGGGAAGAGACCACTTGACGGACATCCACTCTGCAGAGCAAGGCCGAACTTTTATGTGAAACAGAGCTTCCTTCTTCATACTACCACCAAGGCCGGCAAGGCGCCACGAGCGACGCTTCCGGGCACAATTACCCTCGTCGCCCCGTGTTCGCCCCGTGTCGGAAGAGAGGAGCCTACTCCACCCCCACGGGCTGCATCACAACCCTGTACACCACTGATACATGCATCGTGTACCACAGCCCACGTCCCCTCTCCATCTGTCGAAAGACGCCACCGTTTCCCGCACCTTGTCGTGGCTCACCACCCCGGCAAATTCTTTCACGAGCTCGGCAAGCTCCCGAGGGGCGCCCTTGCCTTTCGGAGAAGGAACCACGACGCTCGGGTCCCACACCTGCTCGAACAGCACGTCCTCTGGAGGCACGTAGTCCTCGCTCGACACGGGAACGGGCAAGTTCAAAGGGTCCACCTGTGGTCGAGCACACAAGGTACAGCTGAAACGTGCTGCCAAGTTCGAGTGTGACCTCCTGTTGTAAGAAAGCGCTCGTGTTTCGAGGAGGAAGTGCTGGATTCGTCTGTACAAACTCCCTTCTGCACTATTGGGGACACTTCCTGTCTTATCCACGTCTGCAGAATTGTTGGGTACTCCCCTGGTTTCAGGCTTAGCATAGCCTGAAATTCGTGTTGCTGCCGGATGCCGACGGGGAACGCCTCAGAATAACATATTTTACTTTTGCGCATAAGCGATAGCCTAGACGCGAGATATGGGTATGAACCACAGACTATACAGCCATGTTCGTGGGTGAAAAAAACAAATCTCCAAGGCGACCGCCATCTCCTCCCAGCCTTGCTTCATGCCCTCTCGCGCTACTCCATTCCTTCTTGTCTTCCCCGCACCTGATGCGCTGTTCCCACCAAAGAAACCTTCTTGGGATACTCCTTCTTCATCATCGTTGATTTCCGCTGTTGGGTGCGGAAAGCATGCCCAGGAAAGGCAAGCGAGTGCAGACCGTGACAGGAAAAAAGCGGTGCGGTGTGCACATCAAAAGGAGGCGGGAGAAAGGAAGAGGAATAGCGATATAGAACCGACGTTGAGGTGCCTTCCGCCTCAAGAGGCAACTAAGGACAGGTTTCATGTCGGTTACCTCGGTTTCACTTTTCTGTCATCACCGCCCGCGGGAACAATAAGGCGAGCACGTGACTGGAACATAAGACGTCCAGAGCTCGACTGCCCGGCAGATAAGACAAACGATCCCAGACAAACCTTACCATCTCGACGCGACTCACCCTTGGCAGCTCCGTCCAGCGCCTCCTTCGTTTCGAACCTCCGCCACCCCCGCCCTTTCTCCCGAGCAACCTTGGCTTTGCGATTGCTTCCGCCCAAGCCCTCTCCAGAAGGTCACCGAACTTTTCTTCGCGCTCCGCCATGTGGATCAACACCTACGATACAAGAAACCACGAATCGAACAACACACGGGACATCTTAAAACAAACACAAGAAGCAGCTTTTGAACATCCTTGCACCCCCGATGCGGCCGTACCACAAGGGGATAGACGCATGATCATAGGATGCTCTGATCAAAATCTCTTCGCCTGTCAATAAAAGTTCGACGCACAAGTGCAATCTTGATAGTTCGGACCATGCACATTTTATCCCACGCAGACACGAGTTAGATAGAACACAGAAGCACCCAAGACCGCAACCACCTCGTATCCGATTTTGATCAAACCATACGACCGACTAGCAAACAACAGCCAGTGTCGGCCAAACCCAACCTGTCTGTTACTATCGAAGTAGTCCACGCGGCACTTCGCGCCGTTCTGTCCCCGAACGACCCCTGGCGGGAGGTAGTACACGTCACTTGGACGGGGACCGCGTACCCTCTTCCAACCGAACTCCTGCGCAAGCCCGGGCCAAACGACCTGTACACCAGGCAACCGAACGAACAAACGGCTTCTAGCTGGTTATTGGGCGATGACGTATGTGCTTTCTCGTGAACGATAGCTAGCTGCACCTTACGGGCACAGAACCCACCAAACGAGTAAACAAAGGCCACATTCATTCACGAGTGTGTGGTCGATGTGTGATTGCAGGCGGAGAATAGGGCACCAGCAAGAGCAAGGCGAGCGGGCGCCGGAAACGGAAAGGGCTGGTACTCGACCCCAGGTCCCGTCGTCCGGTCGTGGGTCGCACAGAACGCCGCATGACGGTCCCGCGTTCTTACCACACATTTTGGTCGACTCGGAACCTCGGGGATGGCCGCCTCCGGTCGTGTCACCCACGGACGAGACAGCGGGTCGAGGACTGGTGCTCGCCTTATGCGGCGACACAAATCAGTGGGATTGTGGACGTACTTGGTGTGCTTGAGTGCGGGTGCTTTGGGTGTAATCTTCCTCTGCTGAGAGTTGGCACGATCTATCTTTTTCGAATCTAGATTCAATCGATTGTGTCAATTTACCACAGCAGTGTGCTTGTGTGATTGGTTTTTGGTTGGGGATAAACAAGACTGCGGTAACGCGACGTGACGCGTACGCAAGTTCGCAGCACCGCTCGACAGAAATGATGACATGGATTTCCGACTTCCTGGTACACTCCTTTGCCTCTCGGCCGCCTGAAAAATTAAACAGAGATATGCCTAGCGCGGTGACGAGAGGTCCACTATTTTCGTTTCGTGTTCGTTGCTGTTGTGTTCACATTCAAAGCAGTTATCTACCAAGTAGCGTTCGGTGACATGTTGGCTGAACCGCTTTCTCACATCATCAAAGGCTCGCTTGTACTCCTTGATGGCGTCTTCGGGCAACGGGCCGAGCTCTCCAACAGGTCTTTTAGGCGGAGGGTCCGGCAATACCATACGATCGCGTTCCCTGACCGAATCTCGCGATCTCCTCGAGGAATCTCCGCCCCCGTCGCCACCGGTCTCATCGGCGTCCCTCCCCCGCAGTGGCGCTCCTGCCGTGCGCACGTCTGCCGGCAGCGCCATGCTAACGACAGAGCTTGCTGCAGGAGACGACGATGCATCGCTCGCGGTACCAGAGGCATTACTCGCGACGCTACCATTTCCAGTAGACAGCAGAACGATCTGGTCTCCTGGATCGACAACGCCTTCGCTGCCTGCCGCCGTGCCGAGGCGCGCCACGCAACGCTTCGCCCCTTTCCCCGTCGCCGTCGTTTCCCCCCCGGTAATGTTAACATCACGCGCTTGGCTGTCAGCCTTGCCGTTGGCGCACGAAAACCCTGCAGCTGATTCTCCGGTGGCAGTGTTGGTGGCACTCGTAGCGGCAACGGCACCAGCGGCGGCGGCGGCGGCGGCGGCGACCCGGGCTGCTACCTTCGCCGGCGCGTCAGCGCGTCCGTTCCTACCGGCCAGGGACTGTCTTCCGGGTTGTTCGTGCTCAAGCCTCACGGGCTTCTTGATCACACGACCCAGCCTTGTTGCGGCGGCGGTTGACACACCTGCGGTAGCGGCGGCGGCCGCCGCAGCGGACATGCTTCCTTCCGGAGCAGTGGCGCCCCCTCTGCTACTCATCGCGGAGGAAAAAGACAACGCCAACGCCGACAACAGCTGCGAGGGTGCGGGGCCTGCGGCAGCAGGTCCAACCGACCCAGGATCAATCGAGGGCTGGGCTTTGTGCTGAAGGTCGGTATTTTCGGCGGGGGGGTGCGTTTCGGCGGCAGAGCTTTGCACCCCCCCGCCGGTCGTCACTGGCCATGGTTGCAGCTCCTCCCTGACAACGGCCTCGTCGGAACTACTGATACTGCTGCTCCTGCTTCGCAAAGATGCCATCACTGGCGTGTTGCCCTGCAGGCAGGCGTAACCGGTCACACAGCAGGGTCACGCAGAGCGAATAGACACAAAATCCAAACGGAGGTTTCCATCGAGGGAGGTCAGGAGGTGGGCGACGAGACGTTCTCTCCACTTCAGCCAGTAGCAATGTACTAGGACGATCTATCGTGTGGGGCGGCATCTTTGCAGTACTTGTGATTGCCAAGCAGGAATACTGCCGCGTGTGACGGACACGTGCTGTTTTGTGTCGATCACATGAGACAAAGGACGGAAGTATCTCTGGAAATGTAGTAAACACCGATTCTACGCATTAGCATTTATCTAGACCGACGTTGTGCGGGGACGCAGAGAAATGTCGAGAATAGACTGGTGCAGGCGTCTGAGGGGAGTTCATCCTGCAGGGGTGAGGAACGTTCCGACGACTACTGTACGCCGTATGGTGCAGCAGCCGTTTTCCCCAGGCGGCACCATGAGCAAGCTGTTATTGTACTTGGGCTAGTGATGTATTTGTGATGTTAAAATAGACGTGCCGTTCTCGGAAGGCAGTTTCTAGGCACAGTACATGGACTACTGCTGTGTCTCCACTACTATAGCCCAACCCGTGCCACGTATTACTGCAAAATGCTGCCGTCAAAATCCTGCTAGCGCAGAGAACCGCTTTAGAGAGAGCATGGTGTTGAGGTTGGCCGGATGTTGAGTACAGCAGTATAACCCGCAGAAAACAAACGAATCGTGCGTGGGGGTTGCGTTCAGCAGCACTCGCGTACACGAGTTCTTGCATCACCACATGTATGTACTACTGTGAGATCAACCAGTCACCGGCAAAACAGTACTTGAGTTACATACAATGTACATACCGCTCGCCACACATATCCACAACAGAATACTGGTTTCAGCGCGCAATGTGTCGGTAATAGGTTATCCTCCGACTCTTGGTGTAGGAACAAGCTCTCAATGAATGAAGGTAGCCTGCTACGTGCTCCATACTACGGAGTATGTAGATTCACCTACACCTCATGCATAGACCAATAAAAGTCGCGGGCTTGCTGTTTTGAAGCGTGGATGAAACCTACCTCGGCAGCGCACGCTCCCGCCGCCACTCCCATTGCCGTGGCCTCTCTGCGGCCGGAGCCCGATTTCAAAGGAGACGGCGTTCGAACCAACACGCCGCGGGCGGCGGCGGCGACGGCATCGAAGTTGATGATGCCCAAGCTTGTGGTCGGACCGGGGTAGCCAGCCACCTGCTGGAGGAGCTCTATTACGGAGGTCACCCCGACGAGGCGATCAGGCCGTTCTTCGTCAAGAGAGCCATCTGCAGGAGCCGCACGTCTCATAGCTTCCTCTAACGCCTCACTGGCCTCTCCGACCGGGGGCGGAAAGAAGACCATAACTTTTCCTGGCATATGGGAGGATCCTGGTGTTATTCCTGTTGATGCCGCCGCCGCTGCCGCTGACGGGTTCCTCCGGCGGGGTGAACTGCTGCTGCTGCTGCTGCTGCTGCTGCTCCTGGTCATCCTATTACGAGTTCTGGGGCTAGTCCGGCGACTGCTGTGGCAGGTTTGCGCCGTTGGGCTCGCTTCATCCGACTGGTCGCTGCCGCAATCCGCTGCTACCGGGTGTGTCTGTATCTCATAGCGCCAACCACCGTTCTTGAGCGGGGGCCACACGAGCTTCCAGAACTGCGTTTCATCCTTGCTGTTAGCAGACGCGGCCATCCGGCTGATGTACTTCGTCGACCTTCTGAAGGAACGCACAGAAGGCACTTGCGTTTCTCCACACAGCAGTCTCTCTCCGCCGGTGTGTACGCTTACCGCCCTGCTCGGATGCCAGACAAACCGAGGAGACTGATATCAAGTTTTAAACGGGCCATGCCGAGCGACACGGTGGGACTATACTGCTGTTGTGTACTTGCTGGTGGGTCTTCCGTACAAGCTAATCCTCCGTGGGATTGTCCAAACGAGCACAAACTACTGCTGTAGACGTGTAGTTGGACGCCGGCTCCTTGCCGGTGCGGTGTGATGGCACTTCTTCACATTTATCATCTTTCTTTGTGCGGCCGGCCACCCCGGTCGCGTACAACAGCGGCGGCCGTCTCCGACACGTTGATCAACCCTGCCACCGATACCAAGTCTGCTACCAGGATCGTCCTACGCGCCCCATAGCGGGGCGGGAAACGGGAGGAGGTCCTACGCGCCCTATAGCGGTGTGGGAAACGAGGAACGTCCAGGCCTTGGCCAGCAGCAGCGGCAGCAGACGAAATGACCTGTGTTGCATACTTACAGACAGAGCAACAGCTGATGTGATACGCGTGGATTATAGAACGTCCGCGTAACGGCCGACACACCGAGGAACTGTCCGCGGAAAGGCGTCAAACTTACGTTGGACCCTTCCTCGTTCGCAGATGCGGGGGACTTCTTGAGCTCGTCCGTAAACGAAAGAGACCAGGCGGCAGCGTTCGGCATCGGGCCGAGCGGTGGGCGGCAACCCAGGAGACATATGTTCCCTAGGCAAGGAACATGCCCCGTGGGGTTTCCATTGGTTGCCCGTTACAAACAACTTTGAACGAGACGACGAGGGTGTGTGTGTACCTCTGAGCTGCTCTCCTCTCTCGCCGTGAGAAACGCTGCGATGCAATGCAATGTTACAACGATACGGGAAGCAGCGAAAAGAAGTAAGTGGGTCCTCGCCTGCACGTAGATGTAGGGACGAATGATCTGATCTCTAGCAGTATTCACACATCATCATTCATGAATCCGCTACCGTTCTGTTTTTTTTCGGAGCTCGAGGGTACATCTCGGTTGATCTAGGCGGGTGTCGAGGTGCGTATTGATCCCGGAAGAAACCGCCGTGCCCGAGACTTACGTGAACGATTTTCTCCCAAGACGGACGGCATGTTCATGTTGTCATCGCCAGGTGGTCTAGTTGCCCATCTCCGAACTAACACCAAGCAAGGTCGCGGCGACAAAACAAAAAAAACTATCCACCGAACAATCGTCCAGTCCATGTGTTCTGGCGAATGAAATGGATGTATGTGCTCCTACTCGGAGCAAGAAAACACGTCTGGTGCAAATCAGTGTCAGAGCACGGCAGGTGCACTAACCATATAACACGGGCATAGCAAACCGAAAATCCACAAGAAGAGAGATAAGACAGGGACGGAGCAGACGCGTGGCAATGAATGATGTGTGTGGTGCCGAGCAGCGAGCCGCGAGTGGGCAGAGATCGATCGGAACCAGGGGTAGGTCAAAAAATATTTGCCGACCCCCTCCCGTCACACCCTTCGACACAGCCACCCAGACACACACCTCCCCCCTGCCAAGAGCAGCGATCATGGACGTGCCTTCTTCCACTACTGTGGGCGACGGTATGGGCCTGCCTTGACGTTGAAGTGATAGCCAGCAGAGGCCGTTGGTATGAATATGAGCATGCAGGGAACCGGAGGTATTTTGGCGAAAATGCCCCCGATGTTGTAATTGACCCGACCTCCGTTGGCTGTTGCAGCAGTATGCGTGTATGCATACTGCAGTACCAGTCGAATAAGCTTGCACACACCACCTACAGAGCCACGAGCCAAGCGGTACGTTTCATCTATTTCACTATGCCTTCCTGTAACAACGAAAATATCATAGCCGTATCCTCACCAGCGATCGAAATAGGCGAATTCACAAGTTGCACCGCTGCTGTGCACACACCCAATATTTACGATGTTTGTATGCATACATATACGGCGCGTGGATGGCCTCAACATGAATATTCTCCTTCGTTACCCGTGGCATAAGAATTCACGAAGCGACATGGGTGTCGAGCCCGATGAGGAATAAGAAGGATGGATGCAAACACATCGATTCCAGGTTTTCGCATCTGAATGGCCGCAATAATATGCCATCCGATGCCCAGCAAGCACGATCACGTGCAATATCTTTCAGTAGTATGTACGAGTACCGCCGTATGGCACTACAGCTGTAAGAGTGCTGCGGGGTAGTGTTTCTGGATGTGTTTTTATATTTCCATAAGACTGCTGCAGATGGACAGGACGCGTGGATTACAGAGGAACGAAAAGAACATCAAGCGGCCCCCCACATACCATGGTTGATGATATAGATCTAAACCAGGCTATCGAGCATATCATTTTTTCGGTTTCCTGAACCAACGACATAGCATACAGCAGTAGACTTGGTCGAACGCAATGGTTGACGGTCGGAATACCGTTTCTCGGAACATTCCTTCGGTAGGTGCAGCTCGTGCACAGCAACCTAGCCCTTACCCCCTCTTGCGCCGCGGCTAAGGCGTACACGTATTATAGAGCAACTTAGCGTTTCACCTATCCCGCCGTAAGCTTACCTGACAGCAACTTAGCTTTTCACCGTTGAACAACCTAGCGCTAACCGTGCATCCCAACCTAGCTTTTACCCCTCTTGCGCCGCGCCTTGCCGCAGCCTAGGCTTACTATGTGCAGACCTAGCGCTCTCCAGTGTGATATGACTTTTGGTCGGCTTGCTTGTGTTGGGGTTTGTGTTGGGGTTAGGTACAGGGCTATATCTTAGGTTAGAAGCGGTGCGAAAAAATGGTACAGCAGCATGTCGGGTTCGAATCAGGGCCCACGGGGTTCGGACGGCATGCTATCCATCGGGGTAAATTTCATCCCTGACCGCCATCTGGCAGTGCGTAGGGCGATATACTGGAACTCTAGAGGTTGTACACAGGTTCCACAGAAAGATATCCATCAACCATTGCGTTCGACCAAGTCGTGCACACCCCTCACGAGCGATCCACCAGTTGTCGTTGAGGTTAAGAAAGTAGGACAATGCGTCTCATCGCGCCCTTTTTTTTGTGGATACTTCGATTGTTGGTGGCAGGACCCCACGCCCGGCGAGTAAAAGCCGTCTCGACCGTGATATCGGGGAGGTTGTCACCCAATGTACTTCTTGTGGTCCGATTGTGAAGCTTCGAAACCTGTAGCAGTGGCGTTTGTACCTGGGACCCATCCTCCCTCACATGAACGGTCCCTGTGCTTTTGCTCCACCACAGCCTGCTTCTCCCCAACCACTGGGGGTGACGGCAAACGCAAACGAAATCGCAAGGCCAAGAAGTTTGCTGACTACGTCGCTTGGGAGGAGGAGGCGACCACCGAAAGGGAAGAGCCGACGGATGATGGACAACACCACAACAAACGCAATCGCAAGGGCAAGTCAACAGCAACGCAACAAACGCCGAACCAAAGCAGCCCCTTTGCTGCCACTCCTGTCGCTAGTCCATCACCTTCTGACACTGCTCCTGCTACTGATAGTCACGATACCATTGTGTCGGTCAAGAAGGTGGCAGGCGTCCAGAACGCCACCCGCAAGGCCCTTGAATGGTTGCAGTACGGAGATATGTCCCTCGTGGAGCTGGGCCAGAGCCTACCGAAGCTTTCCAAAGCTCGCGTGGAGGTTGTCATGGAGGCTCTTCGAGCTGCTGGGCTCGTAACGCTGGTCAGGAAGCACGCGCCCAACGCAATGGTGAGAATAGTGACCGCTCATGAGCCCAAAATTACTCGCTCGTGAATTGTGTGGGTTTATTGTTTGGCACATGTGTGCGGTGCCTTTTCGCTTCTCGCTCCCACCGTCGTGTCTGCTTGACGAGTCGAAAGATTCTGAACCGTAACGAAGGCACCCCGTCGTTGCTGCTGTGGAGGGGACTCAAACCGCTTCCACCTCCAGACGCCAGGGGATTTGCGGAGGACGATTCAAAAAACCTTTCGAAACAGCAGTTGTTTGGCACTTTTGATGGGGTGAAGTAGGTCGTTTCTTGTACTAGTGCAGAAGAAGAAGTACGGGATACAAAGTCATGAAGCTTCTGAGTCTCAAGACGCCGACAAACCGTGCGACGATACACAATCATGTTGCTGGCTGTTGTGGTATGGCGTTAGATGGCATTGAGTCATGCTCGGTTTCTTCCCGTTGGGTGTTTGGTTTATGGGGGCGGTAAGCGAGGTAGAGCACAAACGTTTACGCCACCCGTACGGCATCGCCGTTGTCTGGACCGCAGGGAGAGGATCACGTAACCGAGGTGTATCGTTTCTCCGCCGGCCGATCTCCAGCAACGGCGCTCGAGATCGGAGGGGGGAGGCCTGTCTCTCTTGGGTCCATCTCGAAGCGCATTAAGACCTCGCAGGCGGAACTAACAGGGCTCAATGAACGAATCAACGTGCTGAAGGTGATGGATGTTGAAATACGGCCCAAAGGGTCCTGTTAAGCGTCTTGGGATTGGAAGACGAGGGACGAGTCTTGCAGTAATGCCCACGGGAAGTGAACGGGGCGAAAGTTCTTGCTTCCGCTGGCCTTGTGGCGTGTCTCGAGAGTATTCGTACTGACTTTCAGAGCTTAATATGTTGTAGGAGCTCTCCGGCTTGAGCTCGCATTGCCGATGGCCGGGGCTCAGCCAGGGTGCTGTGCACCCACTTTCATGTCTATCATCCCACCCACCCAGCTAGTTGAAACATGCGCAATAAGGTGCCATGTATCATGATGGTATCTGGAATAGAGCGTCCAAGCAGGAACTAGCAGGAAGCTTTGCCACCTCGGGGTAGAGCCCACGAAATAAACTTCTTGCCGTGTCCGTCTCGTCGTCCAGAAACTCTTGCGCACACCCCCTACACCTCGTCGCACTCTCCAATGCTACTCTACTCTGTTGTTGCGCTGCTTTTCGCATACTACGACGGCATAGGCGGAAGCCGCCAAGGCGGATCCAGAGCCGCAGCAAGTCCTGGAAATCCTGCAGCACTTGATGAAGCAGGACAAGAGCCTGGAGGAAGACCCCTTCTACAGCGTTGCGTACAAGGCGACTTGCACGGCCGCCACGAAGGCAGCCAAGGCCGCCGCGGCGGCCGCTAGAGCCACAGCAGCAGCCCAGGCGAGGAAAAAGGCGGCGGAAAATGCGGTGGCGGTGGCGGCATCAGCTGCAGCAGCCGAGGCGACAAGACAAGCTCAGGAAGCGGCGAGAAGAGGGAAAGAGCAAGAGTCTTCAGCGGCGGTGCTGCAGCCGAGGACAGACATGGTGGAGGGGCAAGAAGAGGCGAAGGCTGTCCACGCTAGAGAAGCCGCCGCTGCTGCGGCTACCGTTGCTGCGGCTACTGCTGCTGCGGCTACTGCTGCTGCGGCTACTGCTGCTTCGGCTGCCGCTGCTACCGCTGCTGTTGCTTTACATACTACAGCCTCCCTCACGTCCGGTTCCGGCGCAACCTCCGGTACCGGTGCTGTCAGCGCGTTACCAACGTCCACCCTTTCGCCCGCTGCACCTGCGCCTTCTCCTCCTCCGGCCTTGGCGACGGCCATTGCAGAGCCGCCCAATCCGTTCGTGGGCGAGCTTGGGGGCTTGGTGGTGTCGAGTACTAATGTAGCACCGTGTTCGATTCCACCGGCGCCACCTGCACCACCTGGCGGACCGCCATAGTCGTATTACTCCGGAGTATTTCAGTGGTAGCGCGCAGGTGGCACCAGATGGTGGCCTCATCGCCAGAGCATGAGGAAAACAAGCAGCACACCTTGTATCTTCGCTGCACGCTCATGGGTTTGGTAACCGTGCTGGTACTTCAAGGAGGAATTTCGAAGCTGGATCGCCGAAACAAACGTTCATTGTAGCTCCAAGTTTTTTGTCGAAATTTGACCTTGTGGTGTGTATATACCTGGCAGATGGGTGTATCGAAAACCTATCACAGAGGGTCCGGCTTGGGTGGGACTTGCACCGTGTGTGATGACGGGCGCGGCGATCGGGGTTGGAAGTCCTTGCGTGGGTACGGCATTCAAATCCCGAAAGGATGTCGCAAGTTAATACGAATGCCCACCATTCCAAGGTTGTGGAGCTGCGGCGTATATGACTTTCCCCCAAACTTGGTTTCTACCATGCCTTTCAAGGGATAACAGATATATTCCGGTGAAGCTCGCATCCATCTCCTCAATGGTGTAGTACAGTCGGGCAGTGCTATTCCGTGAAAGGGGCCCTTGCATGTTGACTTTGTTGCAAGCATTCAGCAAGCCGTCGATTACGCATGTTCTTTCGACCCGTCAAGACGCTCAAGGCGCGTTCCGAGTGTGTACCGGGCATCGGAGGTTATGGCCGATACTCGTTTTCACGACCAGAATCGGGTAGGCGGCCTCCGGAAGATACATCCCCACCCAGGCATGCGGCACACCCTCAGGCATGGCCCGAAATATTCCACTCTGCACATCCACGGATGTCATTGCGTGATATTATCCGATTCTTCGCTGATGCGATTCACACGCGTGTATCACCTCCATCTTCGATGGGTGAATCAGAACAACTACCTTCATCAATCAACGCCACGATTATGAATCCAGCGAACACCAGTCTTTCGAACTTCGGCACTCCGACCCTCAGAACGTCGAAGTGCTTCAAAGTACCTCCGCACCACGATTTGCGTTAGAATTAGCAGGGTTTGCTGGATGGAAGCCGACGGAATCATGGAACACAAAACGAATCGTGTGTTACACTCGAACCCACAACATCACTCATCCACCCGTGTACCAACATTATAATTCCCCCAGGTGTTGGTTGCATCGGCATTCGAGTGCAAAACTTCGTACTTCGCGGGAATCCTCAAACACCTTGATATTTAGATACTAAATGAACTTCTCGCAAAATGTCATGATCAGTGATATACACGCTACAGGCGAAATTGTTCTCTCCTCACAAGACTGAGACATTGACGCAAAGGTGTCCGGATCCATATGCGCACCAGAATCACACGGACAGCGCGCGTGAAATCAAGAACACTGCCGAGTCTAGAACAACAGAATACCGCCGTGCCAAGAGCGCGGCTTCCACCCCTTACAAGCCGCGTTGAGACAACAGGTCCAACGACATGAACCGAAGCAAACCGATCTCTCCCCACTACCAATCATACGCCGTTGTCTCCGCCAGTTCATCCTTCAATCCGCTCTCCATAGCCGTTTACAGCACCACTTGGTTTACTTTACTTCTCGATATGGTGCTTTCCGCTCAGGAAAGATACACGCAGCCTGCGCTCCGCCAAGGTGAGGTTGTGGGTCATGATGAGCGCGTGCACTGCAGCTTCCGTTGCGCGGACTTTCCCGTCCGCTTCCATGTGCACCAGGGCCTGCACCGAAGGCTTGGTAGGCTCAGCGTTGCTACCCCCGGTGCTTGCACGGGCTGATATCGTGTCCAACGGGGCCTTGGCATGGGTGTCGAGGTCTACGGAAGACACCGGCCCATGCTGTTGAAAAGGCATCATACGCGAGGGACAGCGGAATTTATCGCTTGTTTTGAAATTTCATCAGGGTTGGGATCGCGAAAAAGGGAACAGCTCTACTGCTTAGTGGGCTCTCCGGCATACACGGCGATCGGAAGACACCCGTGGAGGAAGGATATGACGTTCTCAAATCAGACAGCGCGGCGCACAGCCGTAGTGCTCTACTCCTGTGCAACAATCAGCGAGGTTTCGGGTACATGAAGCCACACAGCTGTTCTCAGCCAGGAAACAACGGTATTCACGTTCATGCACAATGTTTGCGCGGTCGGAGCTGTCAACCACAAAGCAACACAACGCTCTTTTCAGATTCGAACTGCCTGGTGAAGGGTTCCATTCACAAGCAGCCTGATACACAAATGGCGTTCGTACGTACGTGTACCGTTATCACGCCGCGTACAACGAAGCAAGCGTTAGGATGACGACATACCTTCGCAAAAATGGAGGTGATGGTTTCAGCGGTCACGTCTGGAGACACGTTGTCCACCACCAGCGTAGGGCACGGCGGCGACAGGGAGTCGCGGTAGCGCTTGTCGTCAGGTGTAGGGGTCGTACTGAACCTGATAAACAATTTATAATCGTTTCCGATATCGAGAACGGGGGGGGGGTCGTTCGTGTGGGTTGGAGGAGGGGGAAGGAGAGGCCGATTAACCGCGCATGCACCAGCAGCGTCCAACGCAAAACGATCCCAGCACGACTTATGGGGTACAGTACGCCTACCGAATATTACGAGAGGAAACGTTACACCACACAGGCGGTTTTCGGTCGAACACTAACCGTTGGCTGGAGCACTTGCCTGTGCAATCCCTGGACCCCGCTGAAGTCTGTAGCGGTTGGGTCGTTGATAGTCCACTGGCTGGACGGCTTGACCTCTAACGTCATGCCGGAGAGCGGTGTCTGGTATGCAACATATTTGCGGCAAGGCGGTACACGGCAGAATGTGGATGGATGTCCAAACAAGCACAAGCAAAATCACGGACGGGCGGAAGGGCCGGCAGGCTGAGTGAGAGACCGATGCCAAGAGGCGGCGTGAAACAATTCAAGAAGCTCCGACAAGATCAGAGATTAGCTCGCCGCAACATATTTGCCTAAGCACTTCATGTACGAAACACGCAAACACGGCCGCCTCGCGCAACATTCCCCGACGTGACAAGTCCTTCTCGCCGTCACCCCTCACCAGGGGGACGAGGTGAGCAGGGAGACGATGGGAGCAATGCGAACATCATGTGGCTCAACATCACGGAAAAAAGAAGACACACACCCTGCAGGCTAGTTGAAGGGCATTTTTCAGTCTTACCTGGTCCAGCAGGCGCTGGGCGTTGGCAGCTTGGACGGGGTACCTCATCTGCACGAGAGCCATCCCTCGGCTGGCAACAATTTTCACCTGGTAAAAGCAAGAAGACCAATGGGTAGACCATGCAGCAGTAGCACGATAAAGTAGCGCACGGCAGTGAGGGCGGGGCACACGGAAACGTGGAGATTTGAAAGTACACACACCTAGTCGGGTCTCAGCCATGGGCGGGTATACCTACTGTGAGGGTAGAGGTGTGGTTCGGGTGCGTGCCACAGCAGGAACAGTCTTCGCTTATGGGCTGGCTCATCGTATTTCCATGCGATAGAGTGTGGAGCCCACGACACTGCAAGCCACCAGTAATTCTTCGGCACGCCAGGACAAATCCTCTCTAATTAGATTTGTGTTCTCACCTTCATCACGTCACCGTACAGCCCGAAAAGGTGGCAGAAGGCGCCTGGGCTAACCTCGAGCGTGTCGACGTGTCGCACCATGACAATGGGAGACCGAGCAACCGGACCAGCCGCAGCCCAAGCCCCAACGTCAACTCTCTCCTCTTCTCCGTCTCCCGCGGCTTCGTCATCTTCATCATCATGGTTGCCATCGCCCTCAGCGTCGGCCTCGGCATCGGCCTCGTCCTCCGTCTCGACCTTAACTTTAGTCTCTCCTTCGGCCCCATCGCTGGCTTTCCTTTCCCCTTGCTTCTCACCGGCTTCAACTTCACACCTTCCTTTGCTCCTCCCTTCTACTTCGTCACCGGCTTCGAGCTTCTCCTCCTCCTCCTCCTCCTCCTCTTTCTTCTTGTCCTCTCCCCCTGCCTCTACTTCGGGCTCGGACTCAGTTTCCTCGTCGTGTTCTCCGTTCTCCGCTTGCTCCCCTTCTTCTGCGTTGCCGGTCGTGCCGTCACACTGGGTAGCCCCCTCAACCTTCTCCTCGCCGGTTTCCTGCGACGTGGAAGGGTCTTTTCCCTCCGCGACCTCAACACCGTCTGCCTTTGCCTTCTCTTCTAGCGCAACGCCCGCTCCCTTTGCCTTGTCCTCTGGCGGGAAATCTTTTCCACCTCCCCTGCTTCCGCTCCTGAGCCCCCCTCGCCGGGTCACCACGCCTTCCACCAGGGCTTCTTCTCCTACACTACCCCCGCCAGCGCCGGCCGTTCGCTTCCCACTATAACCCTTTTCACCCTCGTCGTCAACCTCTACCGTGCATGCCTTGCGCTTGCTCTCGTCCTGCCGGCTCCCCGCCTTTTCCAAGCTGTCGCCCGCCTCTACGTCCTTTTCGGCCGACAACGAAGCCTCTTCGCCGTCCCCGTCGTCACTAACCCTAACCTTCGCCGTCGCAGCCGCCAGCTGATCCGTCGCGTCGGGGCCCAGCATCTCTGCCGCCTCGCGTTTATTGGTCCTCTTTTCCAGAAACACCTTGGCTGTCGCCGCAGCCAGCTGTTCGGTAGCGTCCGGCCCCAGCATTTCCGCGGCCTCCCGCTTGTTCGCTGTCTTGTTGCCGCTACCTCCGCTAGATCCCGCACCCTCCTTCACGAAACCGGACAAGGTCTTGCCGTCCCCACCGCCACCTCCCCTCCCCGCTAATGTAGCTGTTTTGCTGCCGCTCTCTTTGCCCTCCACAATTTCTTCCGACTTGGGCTGCCGGACCGATTTCTTTGCCAAGGCCGCCGCTGCCGTTAGTGCCTGAATTTGGACAGGATCGAGGCGAGGAACACGAGACCTCGGCTTGATTGCGCCTCCGGGCGCTGCATTGGTCGTCGGCTTTTTATCAGACGAGCGGAACCTGGGGGGTATCCAACACGCGTGAAGCCAATGCATGGCATGTG